CCTCTAAAGATAAAATTCAAGAGTTAAGACTTTGAGCAAAGTCTGGATATTCTGCACGTAGTCCAAAACAATGACCTAGATAAGGAGATAAATCTTGTCTTCTTCCTGAAACTGGCTAATGGGCAACTATTACAAACATTCAAACTATTTCATTCAATATGACACTTAGATGTGCCCAGGGCCCTGCGTCCTTCTGGTCAGCTGACCAGGGACAGGTGCCAGAGGTGTTGGTCTAAGGACATGGCACTGACAGACAAGGTTCTTTGGGTCAATCTGATATCTTTTAGTAGACCAACTGAATAGCTGGATGAGGAGGGGGAAAAGGGAGCATCCACACATGTACCCGCACCCTAGAAGTGAGAAAGTAGCGTGGTCTGGGACAGGCCAGCGTTTGGGGTGGGGGGGATGTAGCAGGTAAAAGTGGAGAGGTACCTGGGGAGTCAGGTGTCTGGCAGGTTGTAATGTGTCAGGATTCCAATGTCCATACTGAGTCCATGAGTTTCTGTACCTAGGAGGTTGATGAAGTGCAGTTCATAGGCTCATCTGCGAAAAGTGGTTTGTAAATTCAATCAAGCACTGAACCTCGCTAGCCTCATCACCAGAAGCCAACTTCCTACAGCCCAAAACACACCGAATGGATCCAGACCATGCCATGACAAAACATGCAAAACCTGCCAACAATATCTCCAGTATGGAGATATCTTCACAATACATATCTGTATGTATCGAAAATACATAGGAGACACCAAGTAACAACTGCGCACCAGAATGAGTGCACACCGAAAATCTATCAAAGACAAGAGCACCCAACTACCTATCTCTAATCTCTCAGGCCTGATCCTCAAAGGGAATTTACAAACCACTTTTCACAGATGAGCCTATGAACTGTACTTCATCAGCCTCCTAGGTACAGAAACTCATGGACTCAATATGGACATTGGAATTATGACACATTACAACCTGCCAGACATCTGACTCCCCGGGTATCTCTGTACTTTTACCTACACTGCTATATCCCCCTCCCCCCACTCCGCCTCCCCACCCCAGCCTGTCCCTCATCCCTTGATGCCTCCCTTTCCATTTTCCCT